TTGTTAAGCAGTAAGTAACTGTTGTTTTGTTCTACTTTTTACTTTTTAAAAACAATGTAAATTTAATGTAATGTCAGACAAAAATTGACTAAAAAATACCGAAAAAGTTAAAGGAAACAACAAAACGGACGAAAATCTAGTAGAAAAAGTCCTGAAAAAATCTCGAAGTTTTGAAAATTTTTTTTTGTAATCCACTTTCCCACTTCGGCGCTTATTGATTTTCACTCAAAAAGTATGTACTTCAAGGCAGACGTTTTTGGACTAACCCATCACCGCTTTATACCAGTTTTAATCACTGTTGTTTTGTGTAACCACAACTAATGAAGTGTGAATGAAGAATGAAGTTTCTATTCGAATTCAATTAATTAATTTAAGTATTTTGGAAATTAATGAAAGTATCAAATTTGATTTAGCGAAATGCATGCGTTGTATGATAAATACGTACGTATCTACATATATATATACAAATGTAGTCAGTATAAAAGATCACTGTTACACAAATTTAATCAATCGTATTTTGATGAATTGTAAGTGTTTGTTAAGGGAAAAATTATACTGAATAGGGCAGCACCAAAATAGGCTTTTTAGGTTTAATCTCAGCAATTCGATCACATCTGGTGGAAGCTCTAATTTCTTCTGGTGCTTTGTGCGTTTATTCAAAGAATGGCTAGAAATAAGAGGATATGATATGTCCAATGCTCGATAAACACGTCTGACAAGTTATTCACACGGCTACTTTTTTATATAATTTTATATAATTTGTTGGCAACCGTTTTCTGGACTTGGTAATTCATATTTTGTTTTTTTTTTTCAATAAAAACCTTTTCGTCCATTTTAGAAGTGCAGGACGAGATGAAGTTTGTAGTTCATTTAGAGGTTGAAAAAAGTTTAGAGAAAAGTTAGTATTTTTTAACTTTAATTATAAACTTTTTAATGAAAACATTTGTTAGAAACTATTTCAAAATTCACTCAATCGTTATTTGATAACTCATTTACACATATAAGTACATAAATACTTTTTTTTTAAGTTAACTTTGGTGGTGTAGTGGTTAGCAGAGCGCGCTACCACTCCGCAGGGCCTGGGTTCGAACCCGGTTCAAACAAACTACAAAAAAAAAATTTCTAATAGTGGTCGCCCCTCGGCAGGCAATGGAAAGTAGAATGAAAAGTAGCTTCTCATAAAAAAAAATAGAATCGCCGTTCGGAGTCGGCGTAAATTTTTAGGTCCCTCCCCTGTTTGTGACAACATCAAGGCGCGCGCCACAATTCGGAGGAGAAGCTGGGCCAAGCACTAGCATATTTGTAAGCGCCAATCCTTATATTATTATTATTATTAAAAAACTTTCATTTTGCAAAAATTTTAATTTCGCATTTTGGCCAATAAAAAATACAACATTTCATATAGTGCAATGTGCCAAATATCATTGAAATACGTCCAGCCGTTTTAGCGTGAAAGAGCAACAAGCAAATTTATAATATTCACAGTCACATAGCTTATTGATTTTCTATTTTTGCTCCACAATTTTGTAATTTCCATTAATTTCGCATGAAAATCAGTACTGAAAAAATATGCAACAACAATTTTATTTATTTTAAGTGATATTTCATATATCTAAACTTAAATTAGCTTTTAGTGAAATTTTATTCATGCTAATTTATGCTTGTTTTCTGCAACCATTAGCCAAATTGGAAAATATGAAAATTTTTATGCTAATTTAAAAGCACACAATACAAAAATTTAGCATAAAATATTTACGGTATAAGTGTTTGTTAAATTTCGCATATACATACAAAAACACTCATGTGTACGAGTATCTAGTATGTATGTAGATAGCGCTAGGATTTACGCTTTGAATGCTGTGTTTGTTTACTTAGCTTCTGCGTAAAATATGTAGCATTCAAGGAAGAAAAAATTATTGCAAATTTATGTAAGAAGTCTAGGCGACAAAAATTTATTATTTCACATATTCTTTTTACAAATTATGGCAGTGTGTTATGTATGTACATACATGTGTGGTAGCAAGTGGAGAAGAAAATATTTATCTAAGGATTGCAACATGGTATATCGTTTGCTAAATGTTTACCTCTTTTTTGCGTCATGCATTTATTTTGAAGGTTAAAACTTGACAAGCTAAATGTGTGATACTTTCTAATGGCGTTCGTGTGGTCTTTTCATAACTTGCACTTGGAGGGTATCGATCAATGAGAGAAAAAGGCCAATTACGTATGTATGTATATATACTTCAATGCTGTCATAACTGAAAAAAAAAAACCAAAAACTAGAGAAAGACGGCCTTAAAGTTTTGAATTTACAAATGAAAATATTTATGTTTACTCCCATACTGGTAATCGATAAAGCTATGTAACTTTTACACAACCTAGAAGAAGAACTAACAGCAATTTCTGCATGCTTAGCTCGATTTTTGTTTTTTGCTTATGACACTTTTCTGGTAATTGAGCGATATGTAAGTTTCCAAAGATTTTAAAAACACTTGAATTCAAGTTGTAAAAAATTAAGAAATACAAATTGTAAAAAGTTAATTAAAGAAATTTTGCTCCCCAAAAACCTAACGTAAACATCCACGCATTCTTATACATATGTATGTAAGTTGGTGGAGTACAAAATGCTTAATAAGTCGTAGTGAAAAGCTTGCATAAATTCTGTAAAAGATATGTGATACACTAAAAAAAAATATTACAAATTTCAAAACAAATCAATATTTCTTAATCAACTTCCAGTTATCATAAAATGAATATGTGCTATGCAGATCCACTTGCGTATGGAAGATGGTTCCGTATGAAGAACTCCACGCATGCGGAGAAATGTAATCGCCATTCACCAGGGATTGGCCTGGAAGGATTATTTTGCAGCTGGTTTAAGCAGCTCACAACGTTTGGTTTACACCAAGAGTTCTTTGGGTGACAACCGAACACCCTTTTGCGAGAGGCAATGTGAAAAGGCTAACTCCCAGCAATGAGTTGGGCTTCGGACGTGCAACTTCATAGCTCAGAAAAACACTGAACGGGGCTAGGTAAAAAAAAATTGGACTTTGCGAAGACTACTACAGCTGTCATGTCGAGTATTGCAAATTCGTTAGCGTATTTGTGGTGAAAGAGATACTCCGTTGCCGAGGACTGATGTTCACCATGGTTAAAAAGATTCTTGTCCCAATCCGCATCGAAACGAGCTTCTTCAACATCTCGATTAGTTACGTCCACGATCGTACAGAAGAGGATGATAGGGCGACCAAAGACCAATTCTATGATCACTTGGAATGCACAAGCGGGGCCTGCCCCGTCCCGATAACAAAATTGTCCGTCGTGATTTCAATGCCAAGGTGGGCACGGAAAGAATCTTTGGTGCCAACGAGGGAAATTTCTAGCATAAAGTGATCTCCTATTCGAAAAAACGAAACACTGCGAGCTTGTAAAGAGCTGAACAGGAAAGCGAGATGTATGTTCCGCAAAATAGATAGAGATATCGAAATACGTGAGTACAACTTACGGAAGGTTTCAATACCAGAACGAACTGCTGTAAGAACAACCACTGCGACATAGTATCCGACGTATATTACATGATAACTGCACGGTAACTTGTGGAAAAGTTGAACCCGAGCCCCAGTCAATGACGACGCACGCGATGTCGCACCCTCTGACTATGACGAGGTATGAATAGCAATTACTTACTTGGCTTTTTTCAGCCAAAAAAGCTGCGGAAGCTGATTGCCTGCCAGCCCAGCTATTGCGGAGCTTATAATACAGATGACTTGAGTTTAAGTGTGCTCTGCCCAATCCACAAGAAAGACTGACACCATAACGCACTCATTGGGCCATCTTAGTGTAGCCAAATATTGGAAAAGACTTGCGAGAACATTCATTTGGCATTTCCAATTTTCCGTCAGTTGGTACAGAGGAGAAACGACTGGCGTGCTTTGTTGAACTCGGCCAAAATCGCTTAGGCGCTTACAGCGCCTATCGAGAAGAGATATATATTCAACTTACCACTTTTTAGGAAGAATTACTGCATCTGAAATAAAAGAAAAAAAAAAGAAAAATTAACGCAAGTGAAATATATACTCACAGTTTTATCTAACATAAAAAATTTAAGTATCTAAATAATTACGTCCAGGGCGAAAAATCGCAAGTTTTTTTGGGAACTTTCCAGTCCATTACACTATTTTGAAAATGGGAAAATTTTTGCAAGGGAAATGCATTTTCTAAGAGGAAAAATCGTTGTTTCTGATGCATTGATGCTGTTAAACGAACGATTTTCATTGAATAAAATTCACTCCAAAATAGGCCCTATTTTAAACGGAAAATGTTAGCTAAAAAGAATCTACTGCGCTAAACTAAAAAGGGATGAGAGTCTACAAGAGGGCGTAGCATCCCTTAATAATGGAATAAATGTGGTAGTAAAGAAAATGATGACTAATATATTTGAAGCAAAGAATTATAATGATCGAATGATTTTTGTTATATATTTGCAAGGTTTCTAAAGTTAAAATTATTTTATTATTTTTCATAAAGATATAGTTCATGCTTTAACCAAACCCTTATGCTAAATCAAACTTTATAATTACAGAGCTAAGAAAAATGTATAAAATTTTCATTAAACAAAGTATTAAAAATTAATGCGATTTTTCAGCCGCTTAAAGCTTGCACTTTTATTTTAATGAAAATTTGTTAAATTTTTCTAAGCTCTGAATAAAGTTTGAAAGTTTAATTTATATGGTTTTGGAGAAAGCATGAACCATATTTTTATGAAAGAAATTAAAAAATTTAACTTTAAAAACCTTGTAAGTATTTAACAAAAATCACCGTGTACTCATTTCTGCTTCCCACTGTACCTACAAGTTCATTTTTGTTACAAATTTGATTTTAATATTTTTTTATAGGAATATTTATAGTTCATTCATAGCTCATTTATGCAATAATTTAAGACAAAATTCAACAAACCTTCGTAAAAATCTCGAGCTTTTTAATTAGATTTCTTAGAAAGATTTTGAGTATACACTTTTTAACTCATTTGATTCTAGTATAATAAAATGTCAGTTTCAAATGGCGAAAAATTACAGTTGCACTTTTAGATTTTTTTTGTCGAAGATATTACTATTAATATTTTCTTAAACATAGGAATAGTTAACTCAGATCAGTGTAGGTAGTGCAACGACGAATAGGAAACAACGGAGCATATTATGTGCATAGACAGCACACGTCGCGAGGTTCCTTAGCAAGACGTGGATCAAAGAACACCTGATGTCGAATAGAGCTTTTTTACAATACGCAGTCGCGGTAACTAGATGACCTGCACCCTCCTCCAAATCGAAAATAATCTAATCTACGTTTTTCTTCCACTTCAAAATAAATTGTGTTTATTCGTTATATGGAAGCAAATGCAACAAAAAAATATAAAAAATTAACGGTAATTTTTAGCTGCTTCAGAACCTTGCACTTCACTTTGCTAGAATTTGATGGGCTACAAAACTGTGTACTCAAAATCTTTTTAAGAAATCGAATTAAAAAGCTGGAAATTTTTCTCAAAGTTTGTTGAAATTTATTTTTCGCGAAGTTTATTACTTGTATTTACGCGGTTTAGAAAAACACCTGCTTTAACCACAGTCAGTTATACTCGCATGTAGGATTGGGATGTTCGAATAGTGTTTATGCATCTGCATCGCATCATAAAACTAAAAGTATTATTCATAAGGGTGCCTGTAATTTATGCTAAACTGAAATTTTTTCTATTTCATATCTTTATTTGTTTACCCCGAACGGCGCACAGTGGTTTGAAATCTAGGTGAACAAAACTATTTGCTCAAAGACGCTTTGACACAATTCGATGCCACTTTGTTGCTATATGTTTTTTGAGCTGGCTGAGTACATGTCTGAAGTCAAATTTCAAAAATTTCTAAATTATGTATCCAATATGGCAAGCGTAAAAAAAGGACAAAAATTAAAAAAAAAAAAATCAGTGAACTATGTATTTTGGGCTTTTGGTATCGCTGATTACGAATCTTGAATCTAAATTTTAAAATGGCGATTGATTTGGACAGACTTTTAAAAGAAAGTGAGTTTAGAGATGGTAATATAAGGTAATTAGTTTTGTATAGTTGAAGTAGGAAACATTTTATTGTGAATCAAATTTTATTTTTATATCTTTCACGGATGAAAAAGTAGAAAATGAAAAGAGATTCAAATAGTGTTTGCATTTTGTTCTTATTATTTTGCACACAACTGTACATATGCGGTCATGTAATTTTAAAAGTAGTGATTTAACTGTGCAAATATAGCAATTATTTATAAGATAAAAATAATTACAAGCAGTACTTAAATGAACATTTTGATAAA